GCCGCTGCCCGCCGGCGGCCCCGCGGACGCGCCGCGGCAGGCGCCGCAGCGGTACAGCGCGCCGCCGGCGCTGCACGCGCCGCCGCTGCCGGAGGAACCCGCGGCGCCCGCCGCCGCCGCCGCCGCCGCCGATGCCGGTGGCACCTTTCGCGGGCTGCCTGGTCTTCAGGGGCCCGCGGCCGGCGCTGGCGAGGACGGCGGCGGCGCCGCCGCGGCGGCGGCGCCATTCTTGCCTCCGCTGCCCCCGGAAGAGGCGCCTAGCGTCCCAGTGGTGGCGGCACGGCCGGTGGCTCCGCAACAACAGCAGCAGCAGCAGCAGCAGCAGCAGCAGCAGCAGCAGCAGCAGCAGCAGCAGCCGCCGCTTGGCAAGAAGCGCCCCGCCGTGGCCAAACCCGCACCCGTGAGCGCCAGCGGCGGCGCGAAGCGTGGCCGCACCGCGGCGCTGCTGGATAAGTGGAGCGCGGTGCGGCGAGATCTGGATTCCGAAGAGGCGGCGGCGCGGAAGGCGGAGGAGGAGCGGGAAGATCCAGAGGCGCGGGAGCGGGCGCGGCGGCGGGAGATCGAGGCGTGGCGCCGAGAGCAGCTCGCCGCCGGCGCCGGCAGCAGCAACCCCAACTTTGCGCCCCTCGGCGGCGGCGCCGGCGCCATTGCCGCGGCGGTCGGCAAGAAGCCGAAAAAGAAGGCCGCGGCAAAGGGCGCGCTTGCGGCCGCGGCGGCGGGCGGGGCTGCGGGGGGCGCAGGCGGCCACCCGACGCACAGCGCTGAGAAGCCTGATCTGGACGCGCTGTCTGTCGGGCTGCCGGTTGGCTGGCGCGCAATGTGGGAGAAGGCGTCTGGGGCGATCTACTATGGCAATCCTGACACAAAGGTGGGACTCTTTGGACGAAAGGCGCGCGCATGCATGCAAGCGGGACCCGCGCGCGCGAGGAGAGGCGTGCCCCGCGGGCGGCGCGTCCCACGGGCGGTGGGACCCCGCACGCGGTGTGTGGGCTTTGAGTGTCGCCGGCGGCGGCGACGGCGGCGGCGGCAAAGGCGGCGGCGGCGCGAGAGGGGGCCCGATCGGCGCCGGCCGCGGGGCTCGGGGTCGCGGCCGCAGCGCCGGCGGCTGTCTCTGCCGTCATCTTATCTTCGACGCGCCCCGGGCGTCGCCGAGCGCCTGGCGCCGGCGGGCTTGGGCGGCCTGCGGCTGATCAGGGGTCAAGGGCGTGTCGGCTGCGGCGTGCCCCGTTGGCCAGGTGGTGGGCGCGGCCCCGCATCCCTGGCCCTTGGGGAACAACAAACGCAACCCAGCTCCAGGTCTCCCCGCCCAGCCTGCGGCCCTTTTTGGCGCCGACAGGGCGGCTGGCCACAGCCCACGCAGGCTATAAGTATGAGCTTGCAACCGCAAAAGCGGCCCGCACGGCACCTGCGCGCCGCGCGTCTCTCGGCCGGCCTCAGCTGGAGACCCCATCTGCCCGCGCCGCACGCCTGGGCGGCCCCGCGCCGGCGCAGAGTGCGGGGCCTCGCCGACCGATCCCAATCCCCACGCCTGACCCTCCGTCTGCCGCCTGCGCCGCCCCGCGGCCCCCCTATGCGGCGCCCCTGCAGGAGACATCTTGGTCCCGCCCCTGAATCTCAATCCCGCGGGCCCGGCCGGCGCCCACCGCAGGCCAGCGGCCGCGCGGGCGCCCCGCCGCAGCCGCAGGGCCCGGGCGCCGCTCAGCTCCGCGAGCGCTGAGCCGAGCAGGCGCTTTTCCGTGTAAACAAATGCTACATATGGGGCCATTTTTTTTCGCTTGGGCCCTGCGCCTGGCATGCCAGCCGGGTGCAATTCTGTTTGCGGCCCAGCGATCTGCACTGCGGAGTGCGTACCGCTCGCGCTGGCGGTCGGCTAGGCCTGCTGCTTCGGTTGGGCCCGCCAATTGGGCGGTGCCCGGCGCCTAAAACCGATGGCCGCCAGAGTGGGTGGTGGTGGGAGTGCGGGGCGCTCTGCAGGCGCAAGAGATAACAGGATGCTCATAGGCAAGAGCCTCGGCACTGGCAGCAGCGCGCTCTGAAGGCAAAGACCCCTGGAAGACCTTGGTGCAGTCATCAAACCCCAGGTTCCAACTGCGCAGATTTGGCAGCCCGAGCACAAATTCGTGGGTCCAGTGCGGGCTCACACGCCCTTTCTTGCACCCTCCATCATCTCGGGCGCCACAATCAAGGGCAGCAGACGCTGCAAGACAGTGCGGGTGGAAATTGCGGCGGGGCGCTCGGCCTGGTATCGGCCCAAGTTACGCCCGGCTGCGTCGCGGCGGCGAGGCAGCCGGGTGGTGAGGCTGCACAGAGCACCTTATAAGGCTCAATGGTGGCGTGTGTCCTCATAGCATACACCTTTAAGTACTACGTCGGCGCGCATTTCATACGCACAGCATTCTTCAAGGACGCCTGCACGATCATCGCATCCCACACGGCAACAAACAGCCGGTACTGACGTCAAACCTTTCAGCCGCGTCCCAATCAAGTGAACGCCTACCAACGCATTTACACAATGGCTCGTGGCCACTGGGCAATCCTGGCAGGTGGGCTGGCGGGACAGTGACGCGGGACAGGGCACCATGGCAGCTGCTCCGTGGTTGACACCGGCGCGCAGGCCACGGGTTGCTGCAGGGCTGCGAATTCCTACCCCTAGCTTGGTGCTTACAGTCGGCATTGAGCAAAATCATGTATCATACCTGACCCGCGCTTTGACCCTGCCACCCCACCAACGGTAACCGTAGTGGCCCTGCTGCTCGCCCCTGGGGCCCTGGGCGCGTCCCTCAAGGCCGGCGGCCTGACTACCTCTGACCGCCGCGCCCTGGGCGAGAAGGCCGCCAATGCACCGCCCGTCTTGCAGTTCGGCGACATGACCCTGGTTGGCGGCCGCGTCCCCACCATCAATGTGGGCGGCCAATCAAGCGTGTACGGCAACCTCAACAGCCGCCACAGCGGCGGCATCACCCTCAGCGGCGGTGCCCTGGGCCCCTTCCAGAACGAGGGCGGCGACGTGTCTATCGACCAGTGGAGCAGGCGCCGCCTGGGCGAGCAGGCCGCCGCCTCTGCCGACGCCAACATCTTTGCCACTGGCGGGCGCACGGCTGGCTTTGCCCCCTCCGACCGCGCCCCCATCACCAACTATGGCGGCAGCACCTCCTTCACCAGCGCCGGCGTGGGCTTCAACGGCGGCACCACCACCAGCTTTGACAACTTCCGCAACCCCGTCATCAACCAGGGCGGCATGGGCCGGATCTTCCGCCGCCTGGGCGAGCAGGCCGCCGCCTCTGCCAACGCCAACATCTTTGCCACTGGCGGCCTCACGGCCGGCTTTGCCCCCTCCGACCGCGCCCCCATCACCAACTATGGCGGCAGCACCTCCTTCACCAGCGCCGGCGTGGGCTTCAACGGCGGCACCACCACCAGCTTTGACAACTTTGGCAACCCTGTCACTAATGACGGGGGCATGGGCCAGATCTTCTGATTACTTTTGTGCAATAACTGTCGTTGAGACCTCAATTACGCATGCTGCGCCCTGCCCGTGCGTGTCATGTGGTTTTGCGTGGCGATGGATTAGTCAGCCTTGCGTGGCGTGCGCTGCACGCTTGCTAGCCATTCTTCCTGCAAGCGCTGCCTCTTTGCACCTTTGGCCTAAATGCCGGTACTGCAAGCCTGTGCGCGTGCACGTGGGGGCCAACACTGCAGGCTCAAGCAAAAACAACTCCTTTCTGTAACTTACAGCCGCAGTGATTGCGTGCTAGTGCCGCTTGATGATGATTGGCGCCTGTGCTGCAATGTTCACTTATAAGTACAGTATGTGTTGCGCCACCAATACCACTGTTTCATGCCAGTAATTGGCAGGACGGCAGGCACGCATGCATTTGATAGCCCCTACATGAGACAACACCGCTCGTTCAAAATACTGTAGTGTGTAAGTGGAGCAACGGGCCCTGAAAACTTTGCTGCTTTGCTGTGCGTCCCTTAGGGCAGTGTGCAATGTTCAGCTGTCAACCATAATTGATGGCTCAACGATGCCCACCGGTTACCAGCCAAACAGCAAGCTCTTAGCCAATTGCAGAACTTGAGTGTATGTTGCCTAGCTGCACGCATTCTGTAGCCCCACTTAGCCCGCATACCCAGCTTGTTTGTCCTGCTCACCGCATGGCTGCACTAGCTGGCATACACATGCACCGTGAAACCAACGAGCCAGCATAGCCCTCTCGCCCATCCCTACGCGCCGATACTTTGACTGATGCAATCCGCTTGATCTCGCTCCCCAGATGAATTATAATCAAATGCAGCCGCGGCTGTAGCCGTGCCGCTCAAAAGGGTCCCAGCTGCCGCCTGTCTGAAGCGTCATGGTAACCGCCACTTGTGTTTGAAAGAACCAAGGGAATGTGTGCCGCCGCTCCTCGCTCAACCTTTCAAAATCCTGAAGGTTAACGGCGCTGCTGAGCACGCCTCTGCTTCAACAAGCAAACAGCAGGCGTGCCCATGCGTAGGCTGGACACCAGCTGTGTACTTAGAGCGCGTTGAAGTTGAGCGTCAGGCGTTTTCTTGAGGGAACTCGCTACACAGCGCCTCTGCCAATTGCCCAGAAACCAAGGAGCATAATTGCATCGATGTGGGATGCAGACCACTGTGCAAATGAAAAGGCGGACCTGTGCCGTCAAATTGGATTGTTTTGATGTGGTAGTCATCAAACACACGGATCTTCATTGCCAAGCCTCTGCTATGTACGCCATCCGTTTTGACATCCGTGCCAACTGAAAATGTTTGCAACCGTCACCGAGCAGTCCAGTTGGAAGCAGAGCGTGCCGCCTAGCCTGCCGTGCCCCAAATCAAGTCCCTGTCTGGAATTTCGTCAACTGTATCTGTTGGGCAGGTATATGCAGCGTATACGCCTCCACAGTTGCTCTCCCAGCATCCCCGGGCAACCACAGCCGCAACCGGGGACACCCGGTGACGCCGCACCTGCCCGGTAGCGAGCCCTGCTGCGGCGCAGCAGCTGGCCAACAGCCGGTATGGCGTTATATATACACTACCCGCAGCTCGGAGACATCAGCCGTCCGTTGACAAGACTTAGGAATGCAAACACCAAGCGCGAGTAGCCTGTAGCGAACAATCAAGGTCTCCGAGATCTGACATTGGAACCTCCGCGCGGTGCAAGGCGTTGGTGTCAAGTCAAGCCAGGACAAGCCCTTAGCCACTATGTCCCGCATCCACTGGACTCTTGCTTGCGGTGAGGCCCCACACACTCTGCAGGACATCACAGCAGGAGCACACCAGCACGTGCGCGCTGCCTGATGCGAGCTGCTTTCAGGAGCACAATGGTGCGCATGCCTTATTATCATCCACTGCCGTCACTCCTGTCTCACCTGCGGGCCCGTCTTGCCCCACACCCGCAGCCCTGGCCCTGCTGCTCGCCCCTGGGGCCCTGGGCGTTTCCCTCAAGGCTGGCGGCCTGACCACCCCTGACCGCCGCACCCTAGGCGAGGAGGCCGCTGAGGCCACAATAAAGGCACAGGGCGGCACCACCTTTATTGGCGGCGCCAGCCCCACCATGGTCTCCGCCAGCCCTCCAGCCAATCCTGCTGCTGCTATGAGCAAGGCCATGGCGTCTTTTGCGCAGCAGCAGCAGTGGGCGCAGCAGGCTGCGGGCAGTAGCCAGCAGCAGCAGCAGTGGGCGCAGCAGGCCATGGGCGGCAGCCAGCAGCAGCAGCAGTGGGCGCAGCAGATGATGGCCAATACCCCGCAGATGCAGCAATGGCAGCAGGCGCAGCAGCAGCGGCAGAAGGCCGCCGTCGCTGGCGCGGCCGCCAAGCCTGCTGGCCAAGCGGCGCCCAAGGGTTCTCCCGCCCCCGCCCGCCTCCCGTGAACCAAGCGGCCAACCCGTGCGCCGTGCTCGCAAGTACTTCAGGAGTAGCGGCTCGCCGCAGCGGCGCAGCCTTCAAACGAATGCACTTGAACAGGTTGCTAGATAGCATCAGCGTGATTCCCGACCCTTTCGCGACTCATCCCTTACAAACTTTTTCGCCCGTTATGATCTATTCCCCTGATGGTCATCACTTGCCACGTGGCTGCGACGTGCAGCCATTCATCCATCACTCCAGGACTACATACGTAGGTTGATCATCACCATCTTTATCAGCGACATGCATATGTTGTCCCCCTACTTTATCACGCGGCTGCCATGCACTGCGCCGCCTCAATAAGCGAGTATTCCTGCTGCAATGTTTTCTCCCCAGGCGTCCTTTCTCAGACCAGCCCCCACCCGCAAAGCCCTTGCAAGCTGGCCTGCTTGCTGCCTCATGTAAACCACATGTAACAAGCCGTTTGACTTGCCCAGGTCGTCAAGCACTCAATGCAAAGTAGAGGTGCAGCTTAAGGCCCACTTAGCAGCGTCATGCATTACAGTCATCCCTCATTACAGTGAACCCCGGTGATGCGAACATTCTGCCTATTGAGAACACTTTCAGGGGGCCCGTCCTGCACCAATACACATCTGAACCCCATCCTCTCGGTAAAGCGAATTGCGAACACCGCCTAATGCGAAGGCCGGGGGGCCTGATTTTTCACAATACGAAGGGGCGGCCAGCCGCTGGCAGCAGTCCGCCTGCTCCGCCAGGGGTTGACCCCTGGCAGATCTGTGGCTGGTGTCACTGGGGTGGGGGCACGGGGTTAAGGGCTGCTTCATTGTGGTCCATCTGGCAGGAACTCTACTCAGCAGGCCACACACAAGCACTTCTTACCCACGAACGTGGTGCAATGTCAGAGGCAGCAGCAAGAGCGGACAGCAGCAGCGCCAGGGCTGCGGCCGGCCAGGCCGGCCCTGCGGGCAGCAAGCACAAGCGCCAGGACCTGACGCTGGAGCAGACGGTGCAAGTTTTGGACATGTGGTAGGCGCGCAAGGGCTCCCAGGCCTCATTCCGCGCGCTGCTGAAGCGGGCCCCGGAGGCCGGGGGCCGCGGCTGGGCCATTGGGGCAGGCACGCGCAGGGTTTGCTAGCGTTCGTGTCATGCCACCCCAACCAGTTTGACATGGACAAGATTGCAGCTGTTGATGCCCTATGCCGCGAGCTTGATGATGATGCTGTCCAGGTGCTGGCGGCGCGGCGCCAGTCGGGCATTGCATTGCGCGCAACCTTGTGCCCCGCACGTAAAAGGAAGGGCGGGCACCCACAGTGCGCGCATGGCGCACTCTGCTGCCGCCAGCCTGCCCGCCCACAAGCGCTTGCCAGCGAGCTTTCTCTGCCCCAATCCCTGTTTCATTTGGTTTTTATGTCTTTGTGCGTTTGCAGTATGTCACCACCTGCTGTGATGGCTCAATTCAGCCTTCCCTCGGATATGCGAACACCCCAGCCCAGATATTGACATTTTCAGGGATGTGAACAAAACACCTGATGCGAACGGGGTTGGGGGGGGCCGTTTTGTTCATTGTAACGAGGGATGACTGTACTTACATCAGCCAGCACAGAGTTGGGTACAACCTGCAGACAGGCAGTTTTTTTGGCTCGGCACGCAGGATGCATATCTGTCCTGTTAGACCCTAATTGCTGCCGCGTGTCCATGTGTCTGGCTGCCGCGTTATGACGTGCAGCGGCACTGCATGCAGGGACTGACCAGGCTCCTGAGAAGTATGGTGCCTGATCAACTGAGCCTGGATTGGGCAACAGAGTTGTTGCGACCCTGCCAGCGCACAAAACAATTCTGTTCGTGGCGCCGATCAGTGCAGCTTGGGCAGCCTCCTGCTGCTGCTGCTGCTGCTGCTGCTGCTGCTGCTGCTGCTGCTGCTGCTGCTGCTGCCGCTGCTGTCGGCTTTTCCTTCGGCATATGCGACCCCACTCCTCCCTTCCCTGCTGTTGCGACGCTCGCATGCAATCGGCTTGCTGCACTGGTTCTCATATGATAACTAACACACCAGCTCTCATGGCAGATGCCATGATGCCTGGCAGCACACAGACATATGCCATCTCGGTTGTCACGGTGCATGTGTATCGCCTGGTTGGCAGCAGCAGACTGCAACTCGCTCTCATCATCTCAGGGAATAGGAACAATGGGTGTGCGGCGTGTCAAACCCATGATGGCCGAGACACAGCTCATGTGAGGTGTGAGGCACCAACAACCACCTCCAGGGGGGTAGTGCATGCCAAAACCAATCCAGGTACACGCATACGCCATCAGCACACGCCAACGCGCGTAGAAACCACGCTGCACTTCGCTCGCTCTGTGTGTCGGCTGAGCCAGCCTGTTGGCGGGGCGCGCGTGTGCAGCCTGAGCAGGACACCTGATGCCAAGGGGGCGCTGGCAGGGCGCGGCAAGCTTGGATGGTCCGCGCTGCCTCGCATTCTTCACCAGGGCACTGCTTTCAAGCCAACTTAGCGCGCCTTGTCCCCCCTTGCGTGCCCCTGACTGCTATCCCTCAGACATACTATGCTTCCCAGTTATTAATTTCAAATGCGTTTTGCGACTATCGTTGTTAATTGGGACGCTTGGGTATTGGGACCCCGCAGGGCACACGTATTGCCCCTTGAGGCTGGGCGGCCACGCAGCACTGCGCTGTGCTGCTGCGGTCGTTTTGGCAGACAGGTGCAATTTGCGGCTGATGGCACTGTTTCAGAACGGCCGACTGGAGCGGCCAACGGAGGAGGCCGGCGCTGCGGCGCAACAGCGGCCTTGCCGCAGAAGGTGAGTCACTTGGTGTGTGCCCAGCTGCCCCACAGGGTGCGCTCATGCTGCGGCGCAGCTTGAGGCGGTGCCTTGACCATTTGTGAACTCCTCATAAATAGACAACGCGGCTCCGCTAACAATCACTTGACTCTTGAACGCAAAGCCTCTCGACGAAAGCAAAACGATCCAGCGAGCAAGCCCCTAGTCAATCCCCGGACACAGACAGGCGTGAACACAAACACAAACTTGTATCACGCCGATCATCTCATTGCCTTGAGAATGGCTCGGCGTTCTGCTCTCGCACTGCTGGGTGAGCAGACCCGCGCGGCGCCGTCGGACCGGGAGAGATGCGCAGAGCAGCTGGTCTACAAGCCTTGTCACGCACGACTTATGGGCATTCCGCAAGCCTCTGATGTAAGCAGCACCCTGACCTTTCATCTCAACCCGCTCGCCCCAACCCGCTCGCCCCTTCCCACCATCCCCCAATCCTGCGCAGCCGTGGCCCTGCTCCTGGGCCCTGGCGCCATGGCGCAGGCGGCCGCCGGCCACCGCAGCCTTGGCGAGAAGCTCGCCGCCGCCACCAACCAGCGCATCTACGCGTCGGGCGGCCGCACAACCGCCTTTGCCCCCAGCGACCGCAGCCAGGTCACCACCTTCAACGGCAACACACTCGTCACCC